CTCTAGCGTGACCTCCTGTATTCTAAGCTCACTACCTTCGTTGTCATTGAAAATCATGACTGCTGATTTTTCCTTACTGAATCTAAAATCTAACCTATCTCCCTCATTACCGCAGATGTCCATCAATCTCTGCAAATCTTCCTTGTTGTTGACCATTAGCACTATATCATCTGCGTACATTAATGCTGGTAGTGCCTGATCAATAAGTTTTCCTTGTTTCACTAAAGAGAGGTTGAAGCCCAGTCCACTTCCCTCTAATTTTGCCTCTAATCCTTGTAGGTACATCATGAATAATAAGGGTGACAGGGGGCACCCCTGCCTAAGCCCCCGTTTTACCGCTGACGGCTTGGATACCTGTTTTTCCCTCTTTATAACTACCTTGTTACCTTTATAGATACCCTTTAAAAGATTAGTGACTACATGTTCCACGCCTAGTGTGTCCAGTATTCCCCACAATTCCTCTTGAACCACGCTATCGTACGCTCCCTTGATATCCAAAAATGCTAGCCACAGGGGCCTGTGTTCCTTTTCTGCTATTTCGATGCACTGCGTCAGTGAGAACAGATTGTCTTCCAACCTCCTATGTTTCCGAAACCCATTCTGCAGTTCCCCCAGCACCCCCTCATCCTCTATCCATTCCTGCAGTCTTTCCTTTATAATCTGCATCGCCAGCCTGCAGACCACTGATGTCACTGTTATAGGACGGTAGTTGTTTAAGTCAGCTTTGTCCCCCTTTCCTTTATAGATCATGCTCATCCTGCTAAGTTTCCATCCATCGGGAACTTCACCATCGATTATTATTTTGCTCAATGCCTCTCTCAAAGCCTGCTTAGACTTCGGACCTAATGTCTTTATCAGCCTAATTGGAATGCCATCTGGGCCTGTTCATGTACTACTAGGAACCCTTTTCTCAGCCCTTTCCCACTCTCGTTGTGAAAATGGAGCCATTGCACCACTTGATCCGTCCTTGTCTATTGTGGTGCATAAAGTACTTCTTTGTTGAAATTTTTCTGTCACCCTTGTTCTTATATATTCAATAGCTTCGTCCCCTTCTAGCTAGCACCTTGGGCTGTAGTTATAAAACTCTGCTCTAGGCTCGTCTCATTTCTTAGGGAGTTTAGATGGTTCCGAAATTTCGCAGCTGCCTTTCTATCTTTTTTATGTACTTCTGCCAGCCACTGAGCTCCCTTTTTTCTAATCTTTTCATTGATCAGAAGGGATGCATCCCTTCTACAGCTTAGAAAAGTTTCCCATTTTCTTTCAACATGATCTGTCGGTTCACCTCGCTGCTTAGCATGTCTGTGTTCCCTAGAGGCTTCCTGACGTTTCACTATGGCTCTCTTAACTTCCTCATCCCACCAACTTTTGGGTTTGTGTCTTCTTTTCCGGGGTGACTTGTCACGCGTCTTAGCAAGCTCTAGCTCAAAGAGTCTAATTAGATTCGTGTATGTCCAAACTGTCTTATTATCCTCCGTGATTACTTTCTCAATTTGTTTAGTGGCTATTTCAATTTGCCTTTCTGGATAACAATTTTTCCTGTAGTTGCTCATCTTGTCTCCTTCCCACTTTCACTGCTCTTCCAAAACTTAGCTTGATATGTTTGTGATCACTACCCAGACTACTGGAGCCACCATCATCTTTGTGCATTCCCCTGAGCTTCTAACACATCCTATGTGACATCAGTGCATAATCTATCGTCGACTGAAGCCTTCCTACCTCCCATGTTATTTGCCCTTCACGCTTCTCGGCACTGTTGCAAATGATCAAATCAAGCCTTTCACACATATCCATGATCATTTTGCCTGTCGGGTCGGTATACCCATCTATATCTTCTATGTGCGCATTCATGTCTCCTAGTATAATTATCTCGCACTCTCAGCCTAACTCCTGAATGTCCTTTGATATACACTCTACCATTGCCTGGTTTTCCTCTCTGGCCTTTGCTCCCGTCCACAAATACACGAAACCAAAGAGTGTCATTTGGGCTGCCACTTTCCCTTTTAGCCATAAATGTTCCTTGCACTCCTGCTTGACCCTTTGCCAGTCTGTACTTTTATGAATGAATGCCTCAATACCACCTCCCTTTCTGCTGCCTTCTGTTCTATTACAATATTCCCACGCATAGTCCGGATTGTTCGGAGGTTGTTCCATGTCCCTGAGATGTGTTTCTACAAAACCGTATATCATCGGCCTCTCTTCCCTTAGCTGTTCTTCTATCTCCCCCACTTCAGCCTGTTCCTACCACCTTCCCGAGTAGTAGCGACCTCCCCCGGCGGCCCCAGTAACAGCCGAGTACGCCATGCTCAAATCAGCCAATGGCTGTTATTAGGTCCAGGACGTAGTGGTTTTGAGCCTGTAGCGTCATTTGTCGAGGGAATAGAAAGTGACTTTTGGCTAAGTTTCGAGAATTTATTGTAATTTACAGGTCGCGTGCTGCGCTATATTTGGCACGCGTGTTCTCGGGAGCCACGACTACCGATCAGCAGCGTTTTCTGACCACTCTCAAAAAGTGTTGCAGGTCTCCTTTGAAAAAGAAACACTGGTGTGTCCTAATTGCGGAACTGCGAAGCGCGAAAGTTCTGCAGTTTAGGAACCACGAATTGCAAGTTCGCAAATATTCACGAGTTGTTCAGGGCTATGAAATTATGACATGCTTAGCAGCACAACACTTCTAGCTATTACTACAGATAACAACGATGGTCATGTCTCATACAAAAACATGGGACAACCGAAGGCAGAAATGCAATATGGCAACGTGAAACCAGTATAGGTAACTTGTCCTTGCAACACTACCAACTCGCACGCCTCGCTCCCCCCCCCCCCCCCTATTTTTTTTTTTCGGACCTAATCGGTTTTTTGAATACACCCAAGACGCATAAAGGAACGAAAAATTTCGCAACACGCATTCATTTTATTATCTGGGGTATAACGTCCCAAAACCTCGATATGATTATGAGAGACTTCGTAGTAGAGGGCTCCAGAAATTTCGACAGTTAACGCGCGCTGACATCTCACAGCACACGGGCCTCCACCGAAATGCGACCGAGATCAAACCCGGTCGCGGGTCAGCAGCAGAGCACCGTATCCACTGATAAACCGCGGCGGACACTCCACGCGTTTAGTACGCAGTTTTTGACGTCATCTTACGCCATGCTCTTGTCATTCAGTTTAAGAAGACGCATTCTAGCAATACGGTACGCTGTCGAGTGCTGACTTTGATCCTCCACGCACATTTGCACATTTCTACAGAATTTACAGAATTAATATGATTTGAAAGTTATATACATATATATATATATATGGTATACAATTTAGTGCTGAGGTGCTTCGTGAACTTATGTCTCAACGAAGGCACTGCAGTGAACTGTTCGCTGTAACGAGATGCGCACGACAGTTCATCAACCTATCCAAGATACTGACCTGACACAAATATTAACTGCTGTATAGCAATATGATTGGTATGAGGGGTACAACGTCCCAAAACCACCATATGATTATGAGAGACGCCGTAGTGGAGGGCTCCGGAAATTTCGACCACCTGGGGTTCTTTAACGTGTACCCAAATCTGAGTACACGGGCCTGGTGCATTTTCGCCTCTATAAAAAAAAAATGCAACCGGAATTCGATCCCGCGACCTGCGTGTCAGCAGCCGAGTACTTTAGCCGTAGAGCCTTAGCCACTAGACCACCACGGCGGGGCGCCGTGTAGGAAAGAAAGGGAATTGGAAGGGCTGTTTTTTTATTTGTTGCGAACCACATCCTCTATACTTGCCTTTAGTTTGCACTTCTTGTCTTGTACATGTATCATTAGCATAGGTCTGCAAGAACTGCTGGAACTCACTCAGGCTCACTTGCACGCTGGACTTGCTCAGGACGCAGACTTACCAAAATGTTTCTTAGTCGGACTCGCGAAAATTTTCTTGAATAAAACTCAGACGCACTCCGACTGACGACTGGATCTGAGTCCGAGTGAGTCGACGCATGAGTCAGTTCGTCTACAATTAGCTACAACTTCGGTCATGGTGTCAAGGCTCTTTAAAACCAATATATCACGCACTCGATGCTCTTCTTGGCGCCTTTTGACATAATACCTTCGAATACGAGTTATAAATGGTTGCAAACCAGCAAGAACAGTTTTCTTGAAAGTGATGACACCATAAGATATATTTGTCAAGAACTTCCCAGAAACAGTGGGCAAGCGGAGCGGGGGGGGGAGAGGAAAAGCTCATGGCACTCCCTGCGGAATTCATACCTCTCATCAATAAATATTCAAATGGCGTATGGACGATGCTGCTTTTAGAATATGGTGCGAGTAGGTGTGAGTATAAACGTGAATCCAGGTAAGGCTCACCAATGCTGAAGATGCGTAATAGGACCATAGGTCGGCAGACAGAAGTGTAACTCGCTCAGACTCACTCAAGAAATATGTCTTAATGCACCTTGGACTCACTCGGACTGAAACTCACCAAAATATCTCTCACCCGTACTCACTCAGACTCACATTCACGGCTGCATCTGAGTGAGTCGACTCAAAAGTGAGTTCACTGACCTATGATCGTTGTACAGACACAAGATACCCAAACAGCATCTCGAGAAGTCTCAGAAACGCGCGATTTCAATATTTTGGACGTCTCGTCATTGGCGGACCTCAAAACAACAATACGTAAAAAACTTTCGCAAATTACTGCGAAATTTAGCGAGAGTACGTATTCGTCGCCGCGAATAAATTCGTCAGCTTTTGTGAATCGCACGGCTTGGACTCATGAGCTAAGTAAACGAAGCAGCGTGTGGCGATAGGCAGCCGGAAAAAGCCCCACACGCTGGCTAATCGCAGATGGGTCCGACGATGTCCAGCAGAGAGCGAATGCGACGAGACGAACGATGCAGCCACGTGGCCTTGGCTGTAGTTACTTGATGCCCCTAGACCAGTTCCAGCGCCTCGGGTCAAACCAAGCGATAAGGAAAGGAAGAGCACGCCGCAGCTGAAACGACTCCCCACCCCCATCATCTCCCTCTCACATACTCGCATCGGTCCGACGCCACTTGCCTCTCGCAACCCACTGTCTGCTTGTTGTGCTGAAACCGACCGCTTGAACATGTCGTTTGTGTCCGTGCCCGAGGATTGTGACTTTTCGTACGAAAACCTGCCGTACGGGATCTTCTCTACACCGACAAACGTATGTATAATGCATGCTGTTCAAAGAGCTCAACTCGTGATACGTCGCCCAACGAAGGCATCACCGTCACTTTGTAGCTGGTACCTGCGCGGCTACTGTTCTCGCGCAAGAGCATGGACTCTTCGTGTCCACAGTTGGTCGTACGGGGAATTCTTTTTGGCCATTAGCAGTACGCTGTTACAGTTTCCCAACCGGTGGCTTCAACTTTCCGGCTTCTCGCACGAGATGCTGGGCGTGCCGTGGCGCGAGACCGCGCGATTATGGCGCCCTCTGTTCATGGGTGCAAAAAAAAAAATAAATAAAAAAATGTCCTGGGTGTTATGCTAAGCAACATTTTTACTAAATAAATGAAAAATAAAGCGTGCAACAGCTGCAACGAGCCATGGTGGTAGTATCATCTGCCTGCATGTTGCGCGCTCTGACATTATGCTGGTAGCTTTGTCACGTGAATGTGAGGCGCGTGATTCAAACTTCACGTTTAGAGATCTTGATAATAGGAATGTTCGGTGATTTTCGGAACAGCTGGGTCAGTGAAACGAAATAAATAATGGACAGCACGGCCCGTTACTTCACGCTTTGTCATCGATGCAACGTTTTCTTTCTTTTTTTCAGAAGGAGTTTACTCGCTTTGAGTGACATACTTATGTTGTCATTGCGTGCGGGTAACGCTTGAACGTAGGACAAAGTTTACAGTTTCTATAGGCAAGTTCATGGCTTGCACAGATAAAAGAATCTAAGTGCAGCGGTTATCTGACGGTCGTGTATCTGTTGAGACAAATATTGACGACGTATGTTAAGCTCTTGTGAAAGCAATGTCCCGATAATGATCTGTGTAAAAAAAAAAAAAAGAAGAAGAAGCGTGATAACGCAGTTTTTCAAATATCAAACAAGTGAATACAAAGCACAATGTTATTGATGCACTTACACTTTAGTTTAGAGAGTTCAGGTTTGGATGGGTTAGACGCGCTATTTTTCTGTAAGAGGGAGGGTGTGGGGTAACAATGAAAACCTTGACATTTAAAAGTTAATTATGGGTCTGCAACACCCCTACTCAGCTTAAAGATTAAGAAAACAGAGTTGTGTCAGTACATCCGGACCCCCCCCCCCCCCCAGCACCCCTGGATTCGCCAATGTAAACTATACCGCATTTTCGCCAATGTCAATTATGTAACAAATGTGTCATCAAAAGCTGTTAGCTTTGTAGCCATTGCTCAGACAAACACAATAACATTAGGGGTAGGGAATCATGAAAGGGTAGGGTTTCACGAAAGGTGTATAACATCCAAAAAAGATGTATATATTACACAAGAGTAATACATGGTGTGAACCATGTTTATTGGCAGCACTATATACATAGGACTTGATACACATCTAAAGTCAATATGCTATTGCTGCAAATATGGATAAAGGTGTGTTATTAAACAATTGTAATAAAGTTTGGATGAGCAGAATTGAAATACATTGTTATGCACTCACACAATGACAGCTAGAAAAGTAAATCAGTTGCTCCTGCTCTAGTTATCACTTGGATCCACATTTCATGCCTGTCATTTGACTTAGTTGCCTTAAAGAGCTTCTAGATTTATTTTGTCCAAGGAATCTTTGTTCACTGTCTCTTATTCACCACGGTGGAGCAGTTATTGTGCTCGGCTGCTGACCCGAAGCTTGCGGTTTCAAACCTGGGCGCAACGGTCGCATTTCGACAGAGCCAAAATGCGAGAGGCCTGTGTACTGTGTGATGTCAGTGCTCGCCAAAGAACATCAGACGGTTAAAATTTCAGGAACCCTCCACTAAGCATCTCTCATGATCGCATTGTGGTTTCGGGATGTAAAACACTAGATATTATGATATGATTGCTGTTCATTCTCGCTACTTCGACACAATAGCAAAATGTAGAAGAGACTGAAAATAAACCTGCCACAAATAAAGAATTATTACGGTTCTCTGCAACACAGATGCCACACAAACATGGCAGGTCCTAAATATCTACATGGAAGCATACTGTACATTCAGAGATAATAGGGCTGCAGAGATACCATAGGGCTACAATGGAGCCTGTTAGCTTCATATGGAAGTAAAGCTATTCTTGACTGTTCCTCTCCCTCCCTGTACCTAACAGTACATGGGAAACAATTGTGTGCATATACTAGCTTCCTCTATTGGTTTGTAATATTTGAAAGGGCATCTCCAAACTGACCAATCTAACGTGCGTCACAAGAAAAATGTTTGGTGTGCTTTCTCTGAGATACGCGCATGCAGCACAGCGCGTCATGCTGGTAAGACTAGACTCGCGGGCTAAAATTCGAGCATAGCCAGCTCAACAGTACTGCAGTATGACAAGTACCGTAGTGGCAAAGGGTGTACATTGTGACTAGCAAAAATTATCGGCCAGTAACACGTGTACATGTCACACCAGTTTAGCTGAAACTTTCGCAGGAAATGACAGAAATATTGTATTATTTGATTCAGGTTGTTGATGAGAACAGTGAGGATACATGCATACGAGATTCTGGATATTAACTAGTGTAGTATTTGTGCACTTCCGAGGATACAAGAAGCTCACACAGTTAAAAAAAATAACTTAATGTCACTTCGAATAGCCAATTGCTATTTGTTTCAAGATTAATTGGTGATAAACGAAATTGTAGTGGTACATTACGATGCCACGAGAGTTTCACTTCTTTCAGCGCATGATATCCGCTACTTGAGTCACCGTTTTTGCATATTTGACAACCTTCAGCTTAACGACAAATAGTGTCAAAGGTTGAATTCCGACCCAGAGTAACTGCATTTCAGTGTAGCTAGAATGCAATGTTTTATAGCACAGTGCACTCAAAAATATTGTTGCCTGCTAAAAACTATACTGTATTTCCCTATTACATGATACATGGCCTGTGCATTGATGTAAAATATTCCAACCCATTAATTGATCTCCCACAGAAAACACCTCGCCCTGGCGTAGCCATTGGAGACTACATCCTTGATCTAACTGTGGTCAAGCACTTCTTCACTGGGCCCCACTTGAAACAATCGCAGCATGTGTTTGAACACGTATGTAGTAATACTTGTTAAGAAATGTTACCCTGGAGAAAAAGTTGACTTTTTGCATGTATTCCAATAGAAAACCTTAAATGAGTTCATGGCACTGGGCAGACCAGCATGGGTAGAGGCCAGACAAGTGATTCAGAAGTTGCTATCCAAGAACGAGCCAGTCTTGAAAGATGACATAGCTCTGAAAGCCAAGTAAGTAATGCTGCTTGTAGAGCAGTGCATGGCTACTTTGACAAAAACTGATCGCTTCACCTGCATGAGCTGGTTTTCCTAATCAAGTCTTACTTTGTGGCTTCACTCTGTCTCGTGTTCTTTTTGAACTGTTGATTCATTACTGTTATTAAAAGGGCAAAAGCAATATAATTTGAGACAAGCTAGTGACAGTGTCTACAAAATACACTGCACACAATTGCCTCAATATAAATGGAAGAGCTGCAGTGAATTGGAAAACAGGGGAAAAAAGGATAAGAAGTGTGTTTAAGGCTTTGAAAAATCACTGAACCAGTTAACATGTCTAATAACAAAAAAAGATATACACATGACAGTTTAAAGAGGCATTAGAGAGAAAGAATTGAGTCAGCTCGTGAGAAACTAGAAATAAAAGAAATTCTGTAACTAAAAAAAAACAGTGCTTATTCTTTTTTTTTTTTCATTTTTTGCCAACTTTATTTACCAAGTGCTCCACATACCATATAAAAGGATGTCATAATTCATCTAGATAACTATTGACACAAACAACTACTAGCTTTATTTTTTAATACAGTGATGTCTTTTTGCATACTCATTTTAAAATGTGTGACAGTGAAATGGCAAGCATATAAATCTAGCTGCCCTTGTTAATAGTAAAATTGCAATAAACCCTTCTGGCATAATGAAAAAAAGCAATTCTTGACAAGCTTCAGAGTTGACACTGCTATGCTCATCTTGTGCTAAATGTCACCACATCTGTCCCGTATTTAGTAATGAAGAATAAACCGCAGTTATCATTTCTTTTTTTCCCAAGGGCACTGGTTCCGATGTCGCAAGCAACAATGCATTTGCCAGCACAAATCGGTAAGGTGCACAATGAGTTGAGTACGTTAGGCAAGCTGTATGCTCATTGTTTGTATAATTTGATTCATCAGGCGACTACACCGACTTCTACTCGTCTATGAACCATGCCACCAACGTTGGCATAATGTTTCGTGGCAAAGACAATCCCCTGTTGCCTAACTGGTAAGAAAGAACATTCTTATGTAGCCACACCCTGTCCTCTAATGTAAATGCAGTGTTAAAGATGTACAATAATGAATTATTGCACACTGCTTTGCAGGAAGTACTTGCCTGTTGGGTACCACGGTCGTTCCTCTTCAGTCGTTGTCTCAGGAACTCCGATACGTCGTCCAAATGGCCAAACCAGGCCCGATGACGGTAAGCATTGTGCCGAGTTCATGACCACGTAAATATTATGTTAGACTTCAGTCCAGTTAAATTAACCACTCATCATCACTCACTAAATAAAAAATGCAGAAAGCCTTTGCCTACGCATGTGTTAACTAGCATACTAATAGAAGTTAAGTTGACATAAGCTGTATCAAGAGTGAGTACGAAACCACTGCCTTCAAATATATTCATAGAAGAGAGTACGTAACTCAATTACCCATCTTCAAAAGACATTAGCATCGCAAAGGTGCCTATCTATTGCCTGTTTTGTGGCAAATTCTCTATCCAACCATTAGAAGTGTGTTTAATCAAAACATGTAATGCCCACAGTTGCAAAAAAATTTACCTATGGCACGTGTTGCACCTTTAACATAGAATTGTATACAAAAGTAGCTCCAGGAATCCATCACATAATTGCTTTGCAGTGCTCACATTGGAAATGTCAATATGTCCTTCATGCATTATTTAAGAATTGGACTGCATTAAACGCTAAGCCAAAGTAGTGATCTCACGCGGTTTCTCTTACTACAGCCAAGCCTCCTGTGTTCGGACCTTGTCGGCTGATGGACTTTGAGCTGGAGATGGCGTTTTTTCGTTGGTCCAGCTAATAAGTTGGGTGATCCAGTGCCAGTGCAGCAGGCTCATGACCACATCTTTGGAATGGTGCTCATGAATGACTGGAGCGGTAAGATTTAAGAATACCGAGTTCAAATTTCTTTAGGTAAAAATTTGGTAGGCTAAACATGCCCTCGACCAAGTTTTCTATCCATTCATCAACAAGCCCCTTTAACATGAATATGGATGTGTGGAGAAAAAGAAAGGAAATTAATTTAGTTTCAATTCTAGTTAGAATCATGCATGGGCAACCATTCAACAGTGAAAAGATATAACACTGCAAAATGTGTGTATGTTATCAACAAGTATTCTTCAGTGTATATACACAGCACATTATTGTTTATGATAACTAAGTTGTAGAAATGTGATGGCCATTTGATTTCGGATCGTATATTTAGATCAATCTCAAGCATATTCTTTCAGTTCCATGAGGATATTGGGACTACATCTTTACACATCCAGGAACAATCCCTTATAGTACATACTGACATTGCCATTGTAGTGACACATTCAAAGCTGTGAAGGGAAACTTGATGAAATGGCTTGACGAAAAAGGGAAACTTGACGAAAAAGCCACATCTCAACTATGGCTCAATACTTTCGCGGCATTAGCCGCAAAAATATTCAGCCATAATCTCCTCTAAAGTTACCTCTAAGGCTCTCACAGTTTAAAGAATCATTGTTCAAGAAGTGCAGCCTGCGAAATTTCATCTCGTGGAACACATTCTGTAACTTGGTATTACCGTCTGCATCTGCACATGGTCGCCATGATATGGGTAAGCATGTAAAATGATATGCAATTCAAATATACTGTGAACACCTTCCTCTCACCCCATGCTATAAGTGGAAAGGAGGAGGGAAGCAGAGAATGCTTACTTATAGGAAATGACAGAGGAGATTGGACAAACTACATTTTTTTAGCCAGTTGCTTTTTCAAGGGTGAAGAAAGAGGTATTGCCTGTATGACTCGTATTATAATAAGTTGTAAGTTCAATGTCAGTAACTCAGCAAACTCAGAACAACACATTAACATCTGTCTAGCTATTTTCATAACTTCGAATTCCTTGCACAAATGATACGGAGACAAAAAAGACAAATATGTCTCTTCCTTTTGTCTCCATATTTTTTGCGCAAAGAATTCGAAGTTATGCATCCTTATCAAGCCGCCTAACTCGCTGCACTCATCAGCTATTTTCCCTACATATTCACATTTTACTATGCGAATATACATGAATTTTTTACAAATCAGTCCATTTTACTGAGCCAATGTCGATAAGTTATTATTTAGGAATCAGACATGTTGCACACTTTTTTCCAACAAACATCCCAGGTGTTCGCACCAACATCCAGCGATCTCGTGAAATGTGTTTGCAGCATTTTGAAATCCTGATATCAATTTTGTTGTGTGCAGCACGCGACTTGCAGAAGTGGGAGTATGTGCCGCTGGGCCCATTCACGGCCAAAAACCTGGGCACCACCATCAGTCCTTGGGTCGTTACCATGGAAGCACTTGAACCCTTCCTCTGTGCAAATGTACCACAAGACCCAGCTCCCATGCCTTACTTAACTCATTCAGACCACTACAACTATGATATCAACCTTCAGGTGGACATTAAGCGTGAGTAAATATAGTTTTTCTTTTCCTTCAATACATTTGGGCATGCATTAGTCACACACACACGTGCTTGTGTGTGTTGCATTCGTTTGTCTCTCGTCTCTGAAGTTTGCGCTGTTTATCATTTCAATTGTAGATTGTCGCCTACGAACTGATGTTGAATTACAAGAAACAAACTTTGCCTCCTGTAAAGCATGTTATTGAATGGCTAAGATAAAACTACTGAAGTACTAGACCACATAAAATGCTCAGTGAAAAGAGGCTGAGCTCGAAATTAATATAGTCTTAGTGACTGCATGGATGCTGTGAAGGCTGATTATTAAAAGAAAAGAAAAATCTGACTCACTAAATATATGCAGCTGCAGTGTTCAAATTTCTGCATGTACAAAAGCAAATGAGTGACTTGAACATGATATTTCTTCTCGACAGCAAAGGGTGCTGCGGCAGCAACTACTGTGTGCAAGTCCAACTTCAAGGTGAGAAAATGCAACTTGATTATCTAGCAAAACTAATATCTACTCCAATTACACGATCTGTCTTAACTGTTACTGAATGATGGCACTCCTGAACTAAGCAAGCTCCATAACACCAACAAAGAACAAGCACTTTTGGACAAAGAAATTTGCCATACTTGCTCACATAACTTGTGCCTCCTTTTTTGCTCTTTAATTTACATAGCGCCCCAGTTGAAACAAGAACCTAAATTACACGACTAAATAAGTACTTGCCCTGTGAAAAAATTAATGGGTGTTACTTAATGTGTTCAAGCACTCGAAGCAATACAATAACTCGATCCGACTTTAATAATGACAGTACATTATTCGTTTATCAGTACTGAATGGATGTAGAGCAGTTTTTAAAGGGCCAGTAAAGAGTTCCACACTTTTGCTACGTGAACATGCTGCCGCAAGAATTTTGTAAATATGTGCTACAATAAAGAAGTGACAGGGGTTAGAGCATTCGTCGCAGCCGGTTCCAAACTTTCGCGTGGCTTGCCACTCTTCTCTGCCATAGGAAGGAGAAAGAGTAGCCCATCGTCGCGACTCCGCCCACTTCTGCAATGTCACACAACATCCATGATACGTCATCAGCATGCACCCAATGACCGAGCAGGGCTCCCCGCAAATGAGTACGTGTCATAGCGGCAAGCCCAGGAAACAGAGAGCAAGGAGCACTTTTTCCCTCGCGCTGAAGTAGTGACACGCTTCTTTATCTTGGAGGCTTTCGTTCTGGCAATACCGCTACTCCCGGTGTCTCGAGCTCTACAAAACAGCAGAGGGCAGCACAGAAAAATGAAAATGCTGACTGCATGGCTGAAACTGCATTGCCTCAAGGCCAAGGCGCTGTTTCGTAAGGCGAAGAACCAATTGGCAAACTCAGTGGTGCGTAATGTTGCCCATGGGCAAGCTTTCGTCAAACTGCGCCTACAAGGAAGATTTGGTCAGGCAATAAAAACAAACGTGGATTGTTTTTTTTAAATGGAGGGTCTGCGCAGCACTGCAATATTTGACAGATCTAGTCCTTATTGTTTCTTCATGCCTGTGCAAGAGCCTAAAATTTCTTGAAGTGTGCCATTTTATGACATGTATGCAAACATGTGGGCTAAACTCAAGAGAGTTAAGTACAGCTGTCCAAATAGCGAAATTTTGGGTGCGAAGCTAATTCGGATATTTAAGTGTGAGTGCAAATAAAATATTTTTCAAACATTTCTAGGATATTTCTAGTATACCTCTAAGTGAAATAGCAGGAAACGGTTAGGGAGGATTTGAAGCAAATTCTTATACGATAGGAACATCTAAATGTTTCTTTTGGTTAGGTTAATAAAGTGCTGGCAGGATGGTCCTTCATAGTCGTCTTATCAAGAATGAGGCAAGGCAGAGGCCAAATTGTATTTAAGTACTTGATTCGGTGCAATCAAAGTGTTGCGGACAACGCTACACACTTGAAAAGCAAAGGTGCTACTTCCTCAGCCTCTCCTCCTTTTTCAACTTGTGAAGAAGCCCAAATGACGTGGCACACAAAGGTGTGCTCCCTTGAAGTACGGACTTGCGAATCTGCCTTGCAGATATCAATACACAAGCACTGAAACTTCGGATGCTAAAAATCTGAACCTGATTTCTTCAACTTTCTGCCCAAACATTGGGTTCAAAACAGCATTAATTGAGCCCAAACATTTGCCACCTTTATCATCTCCATGTTAGAACTAGCGCTTTATTGAATCAATACACTTGTGACTGTAGCAGAGTCTGAAAGGCAACTTTGCCACAATACAAGAATGTAATGGGGAGAAGCAAAAAAAAAAAAAAAATCCGAAGGGGTTACTGCCATTTAGACGATGACATGACCTGCCTTTAGGAAGTTCAAATAGTAAAATTCCAGTGCAAATCGAATCGAATAGCAAACATTAAAAAAAATCAAAATCTAGAATATTCGTGAACCCCTAGAGTTGATGTAGTGTCATGTTAGATGTACTAGAAAGAAAAAAAAAAAAACTTTCAGGAAGATGCAACAAAATGAATTGCAATAAATTATGAGGTGTAGAATGCAAGAACCTTTTTTCATCCTTTTTTCATGTGTGTCATCCACATTAATGAACACCAACCAGGTGGTCAAAATTAAGCAATTAAGAGCATTCATACAGTAGCCTCTGTGCTGTCTTGGAACGGAATGTTGAGCCCATAAGTCGTTTCCATATCAAGATCCTTTATACCGGTGTCGCATGGTGCACTGATGATTGAGCTCAACATCGATTAACTACCTTCTGCAGCTTGAGTAAAAAAGCCAATTGTGGTCAAGAAATTAGATCCAGATCAAGCCTGATCGCATTCGGAAGTAACCGACATAAATGTTACCTACAATCATCTACACCAGCAGAACAGTTCATTGTGGCACACAACGATCTATATACGTGGCGCTGCTGTCATAGGCTGGTAACTATGTGTTTCTTCACTGCAGTACATGTATTGGACCATGAAACAGCAACTGGCTCACCACACCATAACTGGTTGCAACCTGAAACCTGGAGACTTGCTGGGTTCTGGAACCATCAGTGGATCGGTAAATATGCAGTTTTCTTTGGCATCCACAGCTTATGAAAAGTGCGAATTTCAACTACGCATAAAAAACTTTGTCTTCTGTCTCCGACTACTTTCAAAAATTTTTCACTAGCACTGATTGCGAAACAATGGTGTAAAAAAAAAAAGTTGTGCTGTGCTCATAGGCGCCTTATTCGATTGCTTCCCGAGCTGCTGCTTTGTGGCTTTCAATGGAAGCGAGGCTGCAATGCTTTCTGGACTGCAATATGCTCACTTGTGCACTCCTCACGAAGTGAAATAAAAATTCAGGATTAAAGTGATGCGCACACTTTTGTGTCGGCCACCTTCACTTTGTGTCCCATTTGTTTTGTAGCGACATGACACGGAAGCCTCGAGAAATCGCCCACACCAGACGTTTCATTGAACAGTTTCGATATGGCTGTTGAATCCGCGGACTGATCATAGCTTATTACTGCCAACGAAATGCGAGGATGTTGACTCTCACAACACCCGTTTTATACTTGGTGAACAATATTCATGGTAGACAACATAGTATCCGAGAGATTCAGTGACAAAAGAAAGAAAAAAAGAAAGAAAAACAAAGCCTCATGCATATGTTGCTGTTACATTTTCCCCCGGCTCTTCAACCACAAAATACCAATCCCTTTTACAGTCACGTGTGTATGAGCTTCTTGTTCAGTAAAAATGCGCACATGCCGACAACTATGTGTTGCTACTGGAAATAGTCACGGCACCTGCTGTGTATTTTTTTTTTTATATTTGAAACAAACTGCAAAACTGTTGCATTTACTAATCACCAGCTCATGGATCATTACTCACTAATGGCTAAGTGCCAGCAAACAATGCACGGGTGAATGATTGTAAGAGGGACCAGAGGCATGTATGCAATCAGCTTTTCACCTTTGCCACGTGCTCTCCAGATAATCCAATGATGAAGCACTACATTTTTGTGAATCATGCATTCTTCTTTTAAGGTCCCTCAAGAAACCTAGCAATAGCGTTCACAGGGGCAGAATACAAGTGCTTGCTCTATAGTGTGAAATATACAATGAGGTGAATAGAAAGGACTTCGCTCAAGAAAGATTTTGAATACGACTCGAGGCATTGCCAACAGATGTGCTGCATGAAGTGATACGTGGTGCGATTCTTCCATTTGTGTTAAGAATGTTAAAAATAAGATGTTGGGGTGCAAGTTGTGTATCCCGGGTAGATAAGAGTATTAAATTTAGTGATAACCTTCAAAGTGCTCTCATATTAGGCATTCACACGTCCCACGCTTTGCTACTATGATTTCAGACAGAGGACTCCTATGGTTCGATGCTTGAGCTATGCTGGAAGGGAACGAAGCCTGTTCCCCTGAACAACGGAGAAACGAGGACATTCTTGAAAGACGAGGACGAAGTTATCCTGAAAGGTAAGCATGACTAACTAATACACTTGTCCTAGATCGCATTTTTATTTATGCAGTTGGACCCCTTAAAATAAGAGGCACTTAATGGGGAGCAAGCAAGTTTACAAGCACTCTTTCTGATCAACATGTATTTCGATATAGGCACACTAGTACCGCATATCCGGCATCCTATAAAGGGGTGCAACTTCAGTCACTTTGGAAAGCAGCAGAGCTAATTTACCCAGAAGTCCGCGCTTGTATTGCTTACGTGCAAGGCTTCTTACATGTGAAGAGCATACAAAGTAAAGTCTACTCTCATTAATTCAACCTCAAAGGGACCTCCGAATTTTGTTTGATTATCAGAAGTTCTCAGATACACGACTGTGGGCAAGGTGACATCACACATTATGCTTAGGCATTGATTTTATCAAATCTGATCTAAAAAATTTTTAAAGTAATTTGAAAACCTAACTGCACACAATGAACATAAAGCAGAGGTGTAAGGTCCACAAGTTTATCAGCTATTTACTGCTGGTCAGACCTCTAAAAAAATTGCGAACTGCCAACTGCTTCTTTGCTACATGTGCCTTCAGCACAAAGTTCTCTGTACCAGCTTTAGAAATATTGTGCAGGTTAGATGGGTCACCAGTCTTCATATGCAACATACTATCCGAATTCAATCGGAGATCAATCTACCAAACCGCCATTTGTTATAGTGTTCGTGCGAGCAGGTGCAATAAAGTGCATTTGTTAAGTGTGGCATAAAATGCCTATCAAGCCACAGTGCCAACAGTAAGCTTTTCGAAGCAGCATACGCCCCTGTATATTAATCTACAGCATGCAAACAACCCATCCACACATTTTTGCATGCAGGTTACTGCCAAGGCAAAGGACATCGGGTGGGATTCGGAGAATGCAGGGGTGTCGTGCTGCCAGCACATCCCCTTTGAGAGCACAAGGAGCACGCATGCCAAGCAGGGAGTGGGGAGAATAAACAGTTTTTGCATTTATTTTTGCCACCACCTTGCAATTTTGCACAGCATGCATGGTCTCGAAGCAGGCAGAGCTTGGACCCAGGTTCAAGGCACATGGTGGTCTCCCTCAACACCCTCAAACATTCTGTTCTCAGGCACATACCTGTAAATTGAGAAAGCACATTATTGCATTCGCCGCCCAAGGCTTGTCTTTGTAGAACAGTGCGAGAAAGCAAAGATTTTATTACAGTATAGCAAATGTTAATTACTACTGAAATGTGAAGCACAGCAATACCTAATGCTGTTTCTACTGCAGGAACTTGCACAAAAGCTGGAGTGCAGAATGAGAAATTGCAAATGGAAGGCAGAGAGATTCTTTTAATTATCTGATCACACTGACACCTTCCTACATCTTCATACATTTCACAACATGGGGATCACAGCACACTTTCAAACTGGTTGCCAGCAGCTGCTCGATGAAGTTTTATTCTGAGAGTTTAAATAATTGACTGGATCACTTAAAATGATGCCACCAGCACCTATATACAATGAAATAGGTTTAAGCATTAGGTGGAAAATGGTTAAGAACAACATAATTCGCATGTTCACACTGCATCAATTGAAGTTTTGATTGCCCTGTATATGATCTGCCATTACACTTGCACCTGTGCTCTAAAGTGCCTTAATGCTGCTGGTGGCCATGCTTTAGAGAGTGAGAAAGCATCAAAATGTGATCCTCAAATTTCCTTTGAATTGCGTGTGGCACCACTGCTGTACATGTATGGGAATGACAGAGAAGGGGCCTTTCGCGACCGGCTCGAACACATCTATCACTAGGGTGGTACTGCACAAACAGCAGTGCCACAAATTTAACACAATTGTGAACAAATTTTGTTACAGCTGCCACTCTACAAACAAGCATGTGCTGGCAGCAGAGTTGCAGACTAGAGACTCAATTTGGGTTACTACTTTTGCTTTCAGAAGTCTAACCACAGAAGTGGTCACTTCCTCTCACACAAACTGCACAAGAGATAATGCAACCAAGTTTGAAAAACATACAACGAAAGAAGGATGCGATGGGAGTGGGGAAAAGGGATTTCAAACATCGCGCAGGTTTGGTGTAATAAACCTTAGGGAAAGGACTACAGGAGGACACAATCCATACCAGGCCTTTCGCGAACAGCCCCCTCCCCGCCAATCCCGTTCAGAACGGGTGAAATACATCCGCCAGCGGCTTCACACCTCCCGACAGGCAACTGCGATTGCGCAGCGCAATATACGCATTGCACTGGCTGGTGGTGGGGGCCGCCTTAGACGTACACAACACGCAGGGTGTTGGTGGCCCCGGCGCCCTTGCGCCAACCGGTCACGACGATGACGGCGTCGTCCTTGCGCAGGAAACCACGCAGCTTGCCGACCTCGAGGGCGTACTCAATGCGAGCATCAACGTCAGCAGGCCAGTCAGCCTGGCGCTCACCTGCACAAAAACAAGGTAGATCAATGCCTTTAGTGAGCATACCTCGCAACAAAAAAATTTGTAAAACGCCCTGCACAAGAACATACAAACAAACAAAAAAACATCGCGAAAAAAAAAGGGGGTGGGAAGAGGGTCTCAATCACAAGCGCCAACATCAGCATTGCGGTCTTATAGTGGCTAGGAGTCGCCGAACCGAAACAACCGAGGGTAGAGTTTTTCACTAAGGTGAGAGTCTCAAAGGATCAACACAACTAGCAGAATCTATTTCAGTTAGAACAACTCGCGTATGTCTTCATGGGACACATGTGAAAGGATGGGACGGCGCAGCTGCCGCAAAAATGCGGGTCAAAGCTTCACTCGCTACTAGATTCTTTTGGCAGGAATGCCAACCAAAACGTGTCTGGCCCCTTTTTATTGCGATAGCAGTTATATGAACAGTCCGGGCTATTTTTTTTTGCAGTTGCCACTGCCGCTATTCTTCACCATATATGTATACATATCTAAACAATTAAAAAAAAAAACTTGGTTGCTCGGCGGCGAGCGCGAGCTCGTCGCAATGTGCCGATGCTTGCTTATCTCTCGCGTGTACTTTGCCCCATGGATGGATGCCTGTGCGCACACGCTTATCCTTTGGTGGGGGAATCGTGTGCCTACCGCTTTCACTGAAACGAAAGCGTTAGTTGCCGGGCGGGGAGTTGTTTTACAACTGGGATATTTGTCAATTTCTACTCATCAGTACCTGTGATTACGTATCGTGCATCGTTTTTGTTTAAACATCGCGTTACGTGCCGAGCTCGTCCTGCGAATATCGTGTTTGGGCGTCATTTGTGTGTGAGCAGGGCGCTGCACGTTTCAATCTGCTTGCCGCTTTCATTGTTACATTCCAAGTTGTTGCTGTCGCATTTATTGCTTCGCCCTTGTGGCGAAATTACCTTTTGCTATTTTTTTTCCCGTATTTACTGCCTTTAACCTACCGCTGCGTGCCCTCTGAGCAGGTAGATCTCTATCGTGCCTCGCCGCGACTGTGGTTTCGTGCGCGGCGGTTGCGCCAAACAGTAGTTCATTTTACAATCCCCATGCGCTTGGCTGTGCAAGCGCCTTCAAAACCAAGTCGTTTTATGCCATCTACGATAGCATCTGCCGTAGTTTCGTCCGCAGAATTGCGTAAAGCAGCGTTGCTTTCACTGGTTGAGCGCACACTCTTGGGGTTCTGTCAGTTATGTTGTCGCTATACATGATCGTGTCAAGAGTGACCGCAGTTTCGTCCACAGCGGTTGTGGCAACGACAATCACACGCACTGTAGAAGACAGTGCGTGCGCCGGTTGCATGCGTATTTCCAAAGCTTCGAGTATGCGGCTCTTGGCCTTCGTTCGACGGTTTCCGTACTAAAGTTTGTATCACGTGCCGCGATTAGGAAATGTGTTCAGAATGTTTGAATTGAGGCCCAATGAACATAATAGAATTTGGCTTGGGGACTTGAGAATTCGTATCTGCCGCGATTTGGCGTTACTGAGATTATACTGTACGTTTACATGAACGCCTCTTAAACTCATAATAAAATGGGGTAGGTTCGAAAAGCCTGGAGCAGATTGAGCTGCTTTTTTGTCAATGCGACCAGATTACGCACAGAAATTTCATGACAATCTTAAAACCGGAAAAAACGGTCAAAATCCGGGAGACTTGGCAGGTATGCACATGAACGGCCGGGACGGTGCAGCTGGCTGCCGCGAAAGCGTGCGTCAGAGCTTTGGTTTGGCTAGCTACTAGATTCTTAGGTTCTTAGGACAGGAATGACAAAACTTTCCTTCAAAACTGTCATCTTATGCTATCACAACTGCCGCAGTTTTGTCTAACAACACACTTTCAAAGTTCTGTAAGTAACGTTGCCCTACAGTCACTGTAGAAGATAGTGCGTGCGTTGGTAGCACGCATACTTCAAAGTTTGAGCATGTTACTATCGAACGGCCGTCATTCGACGGTTTCAGTACTATTGGCCCAATGGACACATGAATTGGGCTGGAGAATTTCGCTAATTCATATCTGTCGCAGTTTCGCATCACTGAGACTACTGTACGTTTATATAACCGCCTCTCAAATTCGTTTATAGCAAAATGCGGTGGGCTCTCAAAAAGCCTGGAACGGACTGACCTGCACTTTTGTCAATGCGGCCACAACTCGCACACAAATTTAGATTTCCAAGATGTTTTTACGGCAACCGTGCAAACAAAAAAAACCGTCGAAATCCGAGAGTCTCCTGGACAATGCTTGCCGCTTTCATTGTTACATTCCAAGTTGTTGCTGTCGCATTTATTGCTTCGCCCTTGTGGCGAAATTACCTTTTGCTATTTTTTTTCCCGTATTTACTGCCTTTAACCTACCGCTGCGGTTTCAGTACTATTGTGTACAAATTTCGGTGCATAGCGTTGCACAGTGAAGCGTGGAAACACCTTTCAGTACTTCTTGAAATGCGGGAGACTTGGCAGGTATGTGATAACACCAATACATGTTCTCTCCTGGTGGCGGAATATAGCCCACAGACAAGCTACGGCAATACGCCGTAGCCAATCACAGAGGCCACACTATTTTAATTATTATTTTTTGTCGGAAATGAAATATTTTTTGTAAAATTTCAGATAAGATTAGCAAAATTGTAAGCGCGGTCGAAATGTGTTTACGTGAAGGGAAGAGTCAGCAGGTATGAAAGTAAGCCTCTACATTATTTGCATGAAACCTGGTGCTACTGTGTACAGAACGCAGATATTATGTTTGAAGTCGCTAAATAACTGCTGCACTGCCTGTACTACTGGCTTGGCACACTGAGCTTTTAATTGGCATGGGCCAAGGCAAACAAGCATGTGAGGGGGAGACAAAGCTAGGGAAGCTAATGATATTTAAATATCTGAAGATATAACATGGCAGGAGAAAGCACAAAACCGGATCGATGGGCGGATCATGGGAGAGGCCTTTACCCTGCAGTGGGCATAGTCAGGATTGAAGTGACTAGCTTTTAAGGGGAGATACTATTCAAAAAAGTTAGATTGTAGCTTAGGGCAATGAAACTTGTTTACAGAGGTTTTTATGCAGATTTCAAATCTGAAACAGTTGTATAGTGAGTCACATAGTTCGTTTTGTATAATTGCTCGACATCAAGACTTCACATTTTAATGAATGAGAAAAATGCTCAGCCCATATGCTCCTACTACATTCATAATATTCATTGTCGTGAGAGTTAATTGTCGTGAGAGCTTGGTATTTACATTAAATAATGAACGAGAAAAATGCTCAGTATGCAGATTTAGTGAACTTGTGCAAAATGCAATGGCAAGAGGAGATGTGACAATATTTAGGAGACTATAAAGAATTTAATATAATTTAATTTATTAATTTAAATAATTTAATTTAATAGCCCTCTTGGGCTTTTTAAACCTTATTCTAACCTACTTTGAGGTTAACGCTTTTTTCTCTAGCCATGAGAAAGCAGAGTATATTTAAGGGCTCTTTTCTTTGTTAAGGCAACAACAGACTGAATAGGTGTTCAACATTCACCATCATGGCTAGAGGTGGCGCTGACTAACCCTCCCACATTTATATTCAGTTGGTAGAGCATCAAATGCATTATTCAAAGGTCACAGGTTCGATCCCTGCCCACGGCAGGGATCTTTTCATCCACTTTTCACATTTACATTACAATTCCCTCATACAACATCCCCTGTACTTTCCTCGACATGATTGTCCGTTAAAGTAAAAAAAAAGTTATGCATATGGGAAATTCAGAGCTTAAGTTGGTGTACAGTTTGTGTACAAATTTCGGTGCATAGCGTTGCACAGTGAAGCGTGGAAACACCTTTCAGTACTTCTTGATATACGCAATGCCCCCACACGAGGTACACCACAGAGGAGACAATAAATTATCTTGTGCAGTGGTATTGCATTTTAAATGTAGCAGCAGTGACAAGGTGACAAACTGTCTTTACACTTGGCACTGTAGCACCTTGTTAAGGGGAGACGATTGTCTTAAAAAATAGCACGAAATTGTGAAAAGCACCAACTGAAATTTAAGATGAGAAAGTAGAGTATATTTAAGGGCCATTTGTTTTTAAAAGCTTAATATACGGAACAAATGTTTTTAAAACTGAAAAGAATGTTTTTGGCATCATTTATTTCTGATAAATGAAAAACATGTTTAAAACTGAAAAGAATGTTTTTGACATCATTTATTTCTGATAAATGAAAAACATGTAGTTTTGAAAACTACACATGCACACATGCATGGCAATTGCCCCCCTTTAGGGCACCAACAGGAGATGTAAAATACAATCCGGCTGTGACCGGCTTTTACGATAAATCACTGCATTATAATAGATATGTTTTGCCTTATTACAAAGTGGATTTTCAAAGTTGACTGTCACAAATTGCTCATATAACCCATGCAAATGCATTAACTCACCCTGGTAGAGCAATGGCAGAATACCCCTGTAGAGATGGGCCTGGCGAACGGTCTGCTCCATTCGAGAGATTGCCAGGATGGGGCACCGGGGTCTGTACTTGGCAATCAGGTGGGCAGTCCTGTGCAGTTAGACATGCAGATTTGTTTGGAGGCACTGTCAACACTGCAGTCCATATGACAGCGTGGTTAAGCGATTTGGCACCGGACCCAAGGGACTAGACTTCCTTTGTGCTGAAGTGTACCGCTACGGCACAATTTCCTGCGACATCGCTTAGACAAAGCGCTTGTTGGAAGAGCTAGTTGCATGGCTGCAAATTCAGCATGTTGGTGACATGCAGCAAGTGTTATTAATCGAGAGCTTCATTTACTTGCCACAGACCTGTGAAGGCTGGCTGCAGGAGCAATAGAGTCAATTGCCCCCCCCCAAGTGTCTGCACTCCTTCACTTGGAACCGCTGTGAGCACACATTGACATGTTACAAAGTGGCGTGGCTGGATCCGCCTTTGGGCTTCATATGCCGAATGTACTCGCGTAATTCTCGCACCCCTACATGACCTAACATTTTTTTTTCCTTGAGTAATTATCGCATCCCTGAAAACTGCTGCAATAATGTCTGCTCGTTCCAGCCACTGATGATGATAGCAAGTTATATCTGGCGCCATATTTTAAGCATCAAGCGCACTAATATTGCACGGAGGTTCAAGCCAAGCCAAAGTGGCAAGTGCGATGCGGCATGTTCTGTACGTTGTGTTGGTAATCTTGTCACATTATCTCTGTACGTTTTTGTGGAAAGTTTTCCCCTCGTAATTCTCGCACCCCACTACTTTGCATCAAAGTGCAATGATTATGCGAGTAAATACGATACATTGCTGTGGTACAGATAAGCTAGAAGAGAGACAAGGAAGGGGATGCCACTTGCCTGCCAGTGGTAGTGATGACAACGATTGCAGCGGCGAGGCACTTGATGGATGCCGTGACAGCAGCAATGGCAATGGTGTGGGTGCCATCCGTGGGGCAGGGAGCAATGTGAGACAGGTGGACGAAGACATCCTTCTGGTAGAAGGCGGACTCTGCTTCGACGCAGATCTTGTGCATCATGGTCACCACTTCCAGAGGGTAGTCTCCCTTGGCGGTCTCGCCGGAGAGCATTACACAGTCGGCTCCGTCCAGAACTGCATTGGCCACGTCGGATGCCTCGGCTCGGGTGGGCCGTGGCAGGTGGGTCATGCTCTCCAACATCTGCAGAAGAGGAGCACATATAGCCCGGTAGTTACTTTACAGCAACTGAGCACTGAAAGCGCTTGTTTACCCCCTAATTAGTGTTGATTTGCTTTTTTGAATTTATATGAAAAATTCCCTATGGTATAAGTGCTTGTTTTTTTTAGACAATATTAATGAGAACTAACAAAACAATGATGCCGAAATATAGGGTATGCTAGAATGGCAACAGGCGGTGTTGATTGACATTTATGTTAATTTATGTCGAGCACATTATGCACTTATGTACCTTATGAAGTGGTCAGAGGGATGACCACCATGATAGCTTAGTTATCGGACTCCTTATTCGAAGGGCCCAAATTTGAAACCCGCCGGTGGCAAGCTATCTTTTTGTCTGCTTTTCTTTTTTCACATATGTATTCATTACATTTAACACCCCCTACACTTCTCTTGGGACCATTGTTCATTAGTTCTCATTATGTTGCTTTATTAGCTGTAGGTTTTATTCGTAGGAATAATAGAGCTATTTATCCAGGAAACTGCCAAGGCTGTCAAGAAACTAAAAACTGTAGAAGAAAAAGCTGAATAGTATAACTGTAGCACATACCTGAGTAGCACAAATGACTGGCTTGCCAAGCATCTGGCACTTAGCAATCATCATTTTCTGAGCCAGGAAAACTTTCTCAGCTGGAATATTGATTCCCAGGTCACCCCTGGCCACCATAACGCCATCAGCCACATCAAGGATTTCATCAAAACTGCAAGACATTAAGGACACGGTCGAAGAGTTAGCAAAAGCGCTGCATGTGAACATTAAAAGGACAACATTAAAAGGACAAACCAAAACGCACTTGTTAACACCCTCATCGTTTTCGATCTTGCACATGATCTTGATGTCCTTGCCTTTCTCACCCAGGATTTGTCGAATTTCCTTCACACCGTTAGCACTTCTAATAAAAGAAGCGAAGATCATGTCTACCTGAAAAAAAAAAATACTTGACATTCAGTGCAGAAAAAAAAGACTAAAAGCGGGAAAAATTTTTCCCATGCCAGGTTTCTACAGAACTACTGAACTTCAACCGATTATTCCAGCTATGTTGCATGCCTTCGAACCTTAGAAGTATACAATGAGCTTCCAGGGAGTTTCTTGTTAGTACTTCAGGCAATAAGAGATTAATAAGAGTTTTCAGAGGCTCCAGCCATGCACACATCCATGAAAAGACATGTTTACATTACATTTGGTTTAGTGGCCTGAAAATCACAGATTTCGAAAGGAAATAGCACAAGAAATGAAAGACCAGAAAGAATGACATGTGTGTTTTTTGTGTGCCCTCCTCTGCTTGGTCTTTTATATTTACTGCAGTTTCCCTCCACTATGTTTTACTATGATGTCTAAGCAACTGCTTCGCGTATTTTGACCATATTGCTTTATTAAACAGTTTCTGGCTCTCTTGGAAGACTATAGAGCCTCACTTGTAGAGCCTGAGTATATATCTGTAAAATCTGCGTCATGGTAGTAGTTGGTGGAGAATTTCATGTGGAGTCTGCACGCATTTTCGTGGCAAGTGCAGAGTTTTTGGTATCGTGAAAACCAACGAGAAAATACAGCAAATGGAGCCTCACCTCTTGTTCAACACCGAACAGCAGGTCAGATTTGTCCTTTTCGGAGATCGCTGGCAGGTCGACCGCAGTACCAGGTAAGTTTATACTTTTCTTGCTACCAAGCATGCCACCATTATCAATGGTGCAGATCACCTTGTCATCAACTGAAAAGGAAACATTTTTTGCCAGTTATTTGTCAGCTACAGACACGCCCATACTTGCCATACTCATATCTACACTCACACCGGCGCACAAAGGGATAGGCTGGTAGGTTAGGTTATGAAGAGTCATGAAACCGCACAAAACGACGTCAACTAGCGAGATTGTGTTTTTTTTTTTGTTACAAGTACGAAACTGTGATATCAAGCGGAATTTTGTGATACTGCACTAAAAGATACAGCGTTTTGTAAGCCTACAAGTGCGAAAGTTAGGTTAGGTTATTGTGAAACCACAAAAAGCTATGTAAACTAGCGAGATACAGCGTTTCGTAACGCTAAAGGTGCGAAGGTTAGGTTAGGTTATATTAGCAAGCGTTAACGATATCAACTAGCAATAGTGCTTTGTTTCGTTACAAGTACGAAACTGCAATATCATGTCGTGAAGGCAGGCAGGTATGGTTAATCGTAATTTTTCCTCGGCGAAGAAACACTGGGAGGGGGACAAGAGCCTAACGTGCTACCCCTGACTACGCCACTGCCTACGTCTCGTCTGACAGAGGAAGGTAGTCGAGCATAAATATGTTATTTATACAATTGCCCTATGCATTGTTTGCTTCATTTTTATTTTTAAACAATATCAACAAAAACTAACAAAACAATGATGCCGAATATAGGGTGCGTTGGAACAGGTGGTGTTGCCGTTCCGGGAGACTTGGTACTAATATTGCTTTTGAAAACCAATCGCAACAAAGACTAGGGCAAATTGGGTCTGAATGCATAGTATATGTTGGGGAATGATATTTACAGCGAATTACTTGCAATGGTTTATTTCATTTATAATCAGTTTAACTCTTTTGTAGTACGAAAGGTGGGGCGGGAACATGAAATTATGGCTGGGACCAGCTTTCACTCTTTTGAAAAATGTAAAGCTCCAAAAAGCTGTGGGTATCTCTTCTTTAATATGATTGAAACCGAAATCAATGTTGAATCCTCGCGCAGTGCCTTCAATATTCAGCTACAGCATATTGCAGGCCGACTAGTGTTTGGAGAAGCGCCGACAACAAGGGGTACGGTGCAACTGCAGAGAAGAAGACCATTCTCCAGCACCGGTCGGTCTGTCAGGCTATGTCTATGTCACTTGCTCACAACTGTAATGGTGCAGCTTTTTTTTTTCTAGTTTCAGTATAAGAATTTAAGTTAGTTTTTCTTATTGGTTAACCACTTCCATAAAGTTAAGAGGTTGCAGCTTGGCAGGTAGCAGCATGATCAGCTAGTCTGCCTATTAAATAGGGCCTTTTTGAGGTGTGCACAATTTCATTGCAGTAAGCCTCCTACATGACAACCACAACTAAACTACAGTAAAATTTTAGAAACTTGTGCACATGTGCTGGATACTCACCAATCTCGTTCACAGAGAGGCAGATGAGTCCATCATCAATGTAGACCTTGCTGCCCACGTTGAGCACCTTGGTGATGTTCTTGTAGTCTACGTAGAGAGTGTTCTCGTCGCACTTGTCTTTGAAGGCCTCGTCTGTGGTAACGGTGATGGTTGCACCCTTCTTCATTTCAATTTCAGTTGTCTTGCCCTCTTGCTGCAAGGACGTGCATGCCGTTATCAGTATCAGTGCACACACGAGGTGAAATCTGGTGCAACAATAATGGTCGTTGCTTCTAACATGACATGACCAGGCAGCCGGGTCTTTTTTACAGCGAAAGTCCGTTGCGAGATCACAACAGTTGTTTTGGTGACGTAGTTGTGCGCCAATAACACCCCCGGTGGTTGGACGAAAAAAAAAAAAAAAAAAAACATCCCCCCCCCCCCCCCCCCCCCAGCCCCTTAGCCATCAAGTATTCTACCCCCTGTGCTTTCTTGTATTCAAGTATTCTACCACCTGCATATTTTTGCTTACTAAGTGTTCTCTTGCAGTAAGCAAGACTACAGGAACGCAATTTCAGCTAGGTAGTTGAGGTTCTTTAATGTGCATCTGAATCAATAACTACATAAGCGTTGCAATAACTACTGGGTTATCACAGCAAGTCAGAGAAAGGTACGAAATAACTAAATGGATATACAATGCAGCTCCTAGAAATGAGTATTCAGTAGGCTTAATAGAACCTGAAGGGAGCAGAAAAAAATGCGTTCAGTTGAACAGGAGATAAAGAGGTGTGCAGAATTTAGTTTCAGAGACTTGGCCATTTCGTTGAAGAGATGGGGTCGTGACGAGAGACAACTCGTGAGGCGACTTACCCCGGTGATGACCCCCGTGCGCATCTCGGGGCCCTTGGTGTCCAGAGCGATGGCAATCTGACGAGAATCAGGCTTGATCTCTTCGTTCAGCAAGCGGTTTGCTTCACGGATGTTCTTGATGGTTTGCGCGTGGTACTGGTGAAGAATAAAGTAATTTCAGTACGAGGAGCACGAAACACAGTCACCTGTCATTCTGGACACTGCAAATTTGGTCAAGTGTATTTGCTACTTGCAAGCGTACAAGATGTGTAGATTGCCTAAGCTTGCGCAATTACAAAATACAAAAAAATGCATGAACCTCATCAGACAACATAGCTCAACCTGTAGCAACCATTAACACTACATTTTAATCCTGTAATGCCCACGATCAGTTATGCCTTCAGAAAAATTGCAAGAAAAGGCTGGCTTATTACTTTTCTTGTCTAGTTCATTATAGAAAAAATGTGAATTGAAATTTTCATTGAGGTGGAACTTAATTAGTAATGATGGGAATAATTATCATCGTATAATATTGAAGTGCTTACCGTGACACCTATAGTATCTTTTAGTAGCTCTATTGAGGTATTATATTCAATGTATCAAATACAATACAGTAGGCATTAGAGGGTTAAATCAAGCTGCTTGAGCTGACCATGAATACAGCACCACATTTCCTCACGTATAAGCCAACCCTGCACTGATGATGCAGCCTTGGCCCCTAAAGGGCTATGCACTTGATAAGACTGTGTGCTTTACTAAATAATTAGGCCATTTTCACAGATATGACACCACAAACTATGCCTCAAGATAAAAGCTTTTTTTATCCTGTTTAAGACTAATGAACTGCTTTCAGCAGCTAGTTTTCCTACTCCCAATCAACGTACCAGGCACTCACTGACACAAGGCTATCTTGCACACCGAAATTCTTGTGTGTAACTTGCACTAATATTTTGTTTTCTGCAGGTTATACAAGAGAAAATACAGGTATGTGCAAGGCACCAATTGTGAGCATAAAAAAACATGCACGCGGCATGGCAGCAATTTATAAATAAAATTGTATTTGTACCTCATGAGAACCGTGTGAGAAGTTGCACCTGGCAATGTTCATGCCACATTTCATCATGTTCAACAGCATCTTCACACTCTGCGATGCAGGGCCTGCACAGAATGCACAACGTTGGAGAATCACCACAAATGCTCTACAGGGATTGCCACGGTGCATTTAGAGATCCAATCACTTTTTGTATATTTAAATCAATACTTCAGCAAGAAAACTGCTTTTTTTATCAGTATAGCCTTATGTGTCATAGAAGTTGAAATTGAATTGATTGTAGCGTAAAATTAACAGCAGCAACACAAGACCAAATAATGAGAGATAACACAAGACCAAATAATGAGAGATCTATTCATTTTAATCCCGCCACAACGGCTTCGTCAAAGGGGCCCCACAAAACTGATCCAAGTGATTACCGAATGGCCACATTAAGAAGGATTAAGTATGATGAGAGTTGCAAGAAGTGCATCCACTTTGTTCGTAGCAGTAAGTGCTCTGAAAGCTAGACATGGGGGGACGACTTTTTCCAAACGTGCGCCTTACTTTCAATGTGATCTTGAGTGTGAGCGGGCGCATGGTGGCACCCTGAGGCGTAACTTCAAACATTTCACAAATCTAAAGACTTAAAGTGAATTAAACTATCAGAGGAAATCCTTGCAAAGGAAATTTAATGGCAACTTTTTGGTGGCCGAAAGTGCAAAGTGAAGTTCGCTGTTACGTCGCCATCCTGGACCATTAACACCTACTCGAATACACTAAACTATATCCCACACAGCTGTCGAGTAAGGCAAGAGATTGAAAGTATGCAGAAGTTTTTTTCTGTTTGCCTTTGTTAGTTGTACGTACAGCAGAATGAACTTATAGCGAAGCCTTAAGATAAAAAGTAATAAATAGACATTTTGAGAAGAAAAAAATATTCATATGTACAGCAGAATGAACTTTCCCTTAATAGCTCCCGAGATATTGAGGCCTTACGATAAACAGTATTAAATAGACATTTTGAGAGAATAAAAAAGTAAAATAATTTATTCAAAAAACACTTCCATAAACAATCGAGGTACGCACATTTTGCAATGAGGATGCCCATGGACACCAGAAATATAGAAATATAAAAGTATAGAAATATATTGGACATGTGGCGAGAGCTTGTCCAAGATTAGACTGCCGCTTGGTGCCTCTCCTGATCTATCAGATGCTTATGAAGCTGAGTTTTGTATTGAGATCCCAATAATTTCTTAAATGGCTATAATCAATTTCATTACCGTCCGGGCATCTGCAGTTTCAGTTGTAAATAGCAAAGCATGCTGTTCCTTAGATGCCAACGCCCGAATAAGTGAACAAAGGCTTTCATTTACACCTTTGGCACATTATAGAAGCTTTTTTTTTTTTTGACAAAGCAAAGCTTTGGACACAAGTGCTGGCAAATTATAAAGATGCCACTTTTTCGGTTTACACGCAAACTGAAGATGTTCAATGAAAAATTGTGTGGTGTTGTCTCTAGGAAACTGCCACGACAGAAAGTGGTGTTCAGTATAGATGCTCCCGCCATGGTCACATGCTCAGGTAATCTTGAATCGGCCCTGTCAAAAGATCAGAACTGTGGAGATCAATCAAGAAAGCTGCCAAAGCACAAAATGAAAAGCGCTATTATGACAGCCACCGTAAACCTGCTCCTGCATACACATTGTTGATTAGGTGTGGGTGCTAAAGAATGGCAGCGAGCCAGGCAGGAAGCTACTTGCCATGTTCAATGGGCTATTCAGAATTACCGAGCATGTAGATGAGAATAACTGGCGTGTGAGCACATCAGATGCTAAATGCAGTCTTGATAAGCAAAAAGAAATGCCATGCACGTGTGGTGCCTTAAGAAAACATTTCCGTTCATTGTCAAGTCCACAGCAAGGCCAAATGATGAAAAGTGGCGATGCAGCTGTGGGGCATGAGTGAGACGGCGAGAAAGAAAAGGACGAGGGGCATAGAACAGAACAGCTTGCTCTGGTGTCATCTTGGGCATCTTGTTTCACAACATGTGACAGAGTTGGCATTGTGACAGCAACTAACTGAAGTGGCTATCTAAGCTGAGTGATTTAGGTTAAATAATGCCTGCTCTAAAGTGCTTCCACTGAGTAGCTTGGCTTATGTGCACACATGTTTCTACTAGAAACCCCAAGATGTACCTCGCCACAGGTTAGCCCACAAGGGGTGTAGGGCCTGTGCGATTAGGGCTCTCACTTCAAAAAACATTCTTAGGGTTATTAAGGATTCATTAGGGCATAAATGTAGCATAAAAAAAAAAACGACAAGGACAAGAAAGTGAACACCAGAAGCGCCTACTCTTAAAAGCTATATTGCTTGAACCGAAAATGTATAACATCTACCTTCACTAAATCTAGCGCATGCGCATCGTGGGCGAAGCAAGGCATGAAACCAAAATAAGAACACCTTGCCTTGCTTTGCCCACGATGCGCATGCGCTAGATTAATGATCGAGTGCCAAAGTATATATTTTCGGTTCAAGCAATAAAGCTTTCAGTTGTGATTAGGCGCTTGTGGTGCTCACTTTCTTGTCCTTGTCTTTTTTTGGCCTACAATTTCGCCGTAATGAATCAGTACCAACTTGCTTGCCTCTCGGTTTTGCTTCACATTACCTAGTAATCGAGGGAACAGTAGAGAGTACCTGTTTCAAGATGTACTCCCACTCAGCAGCTTGCCTTATCCACACGAGACTGGATGTGCACACATGCTTGTACCAGAAACCTTAACATGTGCCTTGCCATACACAAGATCACAAAGAGCATGGGGGCTCGTTGAATAGAGTTACCTCGGAATTGAGAAAACAATTGAGAGCACCTGTTCTAAACTGTGCTCCCACTGAGCAGCTTGGCTTATCTACATCCCTGCGTATATGCAGACATGCTAAACCAGAAACTTGTAACAGGTGATTTAAGTGGGAAGGGGGTTGATCAGATTAGGCTTAATTGGTTGAGAGCACATAGCACATTCACACGAAATGATGGTGGAAGAAATAAGTGGCTAGTGTTACCTAGGAATCAAGGGCCTCTTTTTCACTGTTAGAAACAATGAGAACTGATTAACAATACCTAGGGTCATTCAGCATTACCTAGGAGACTGCAGGGTTATGGCCACGCAGGTTTTTGCAATAATAGCAGCAGAGGACCCCGATATTGACTGCCCCACCAGTCATCGCTTAATTTTGATCTTCGCATTCACTCGACCAAGGAAGTAGCAAGAAGGGTAGGGGGGGGGGGGGGGGGGGGTATCGGAGGAACTCTGCTACTGCCCCTTTAGTAGAGGACCGCGCGCCCGACTGTTTCTAGCTGTGACCTTTTCCGCATGACAGGAATGCTGGCAGGTGGAGCGACATTTGCAGAGAAATGCCGAAGTGCTCGAGACTGCGACCCTCGACTACGGCAGCGTTAGCAGACATCGAGCCTCTAACATCACCCGCAAGAAACTATTCGGATGTACACCTGTAGACGCGGCTGCGTATCGAAGATGGCTTGCCGATCGACTGAATCGGGCGGCCTCGCTATGGCCGCGCGGGCGTGGCCCAACATCGGTTCGGAACGGCGGGCGACGGAAAAGAAAAATGAGCGAGCTCACCGATAGTGCAGATGATTCCAGTCAGCCTGACGAACGACGTCGGCTGGTTGATGTCCAGAGAGCTGAGGTGCTCAAGCAGCGTGTTTGCGTGGACGGCATACATCTGCTGCGGCTTCGGTGGTTCTGCAACGGTCGCCATGGTCGGTTCTTTCGCTCGATCTGCAAAAGAAAATGAACAGGGAGGTGTAGGCAAAACGCCGGGGCATTGGAATCGACGCATACCAGCGGAGGAGAAGAGCTAGCGAAAATAGTGACGAGCAAAATCGCCGAACAGCCCGACAATCTCGCGGGGGGTACTCACGGGAGAGCGCGAGCCCGAAACGGAACGGCGACGATTCACGTGATGGCGATACCGGCCTTGGCCCGAGGCGGCCCGAAACCGTTCCGATAGGCGAGGGCTATCGACAGAGGAGGGCCCACGCCCCGAGCAGCACCGGATGCCAGAGATAAGAGGCGACGTGTACGACCGTGCTGCTACGCGGAGCGCTTCGAACTGAATGGGGCGGGCTCGCCTGGGCTCGTGCAGGTCTCGCACTGCCTGGACTGCACGATCCACGCGCCGACATGCGTGGCGCGTACGGAAGAAGAAGAAGTTCCGCGTGTGACCGGTGACAAAGTTGCAGCGCGCGCGTGAAACTTGCCGCGCAAAATTGGACGTCATATCTTAATATGGTAATACAATATGCAAATGGCCAGCAGGGCGAGGAGGTCGCGAGGAAAGTGGACGAACAACACGGCCGGCGCGCGCATGGCAGCTAAAATTTTCCTTGAAGGATTGCAACCGACAGCGGTGATGGCAAGCGGTCGCATTATTTTTTTAAGGCCAATCCTCCTTGTGGGCATGAGCCACGATCTTTTATAGGCGAGAAACATACACCTTATAATCGGCCAATACCCTCCTTTGGGTACGAGCCATTTGCACAGGAAAACAACAAATAGGCCAAGGGAAGCACATATAGAGGATTTCAATTGTTGTCTGGTGTACTTGCGAGAATGAAATGAACTGGATGTAAGTCCCCTCCCTTCCAGCAGTGGGGCTCTAACCCACAACTGAAAATTGTGTTGGCAAAGTTGCAGGCTCGGGTTCCACAGGTGGAAAGAGTGACTTTACATACCCTTTAATGTAATTCAGTCACACTAACATACACCGCAGTAGAAGACACCAATTAACGTCCCCTATATACGCTTTTCTTGGTCTATTTGTTGGATTCAGTTGGTTGCGCCTAACAAAGAAAGAAGACCCGAAAAATCTCTACTTCCGTACTTTCAGCGAAAGTATGAGGAATTTATATGTGACTACACCTAACATCCATTGGCAGAACACGATAAAGGACAGCAACTTAAGAACAATAACCACGCTTTACCGCGTTCCAATTACACGAATGCATAAGGTAAGACTTCGGCGGGTGCGCGTACATCTTCGAAGAGTACAGCAAATGGTCCTGGTACAGCAGTTATTCGAGGCATATAGCAGCAAGCGTACGACATCCGATTACGCCGATAGCGGCTCGGGTTGCCAATATAGCCAAGTTCACATGGTGTAAAATTACCTTTTCGAACCAGTGATTCGAACCGACGACGAACCCCCCGACGGCTGCTTTCTGCGCAATAAACCACGTCACGAGCCAAATCACGAAGAGGCGCAGTGGCGGCGCATCAGAGCATCCGCCCCGATCTGCTAACCGATCCGAGAAACTTTCCGCTGTACGTGCACCACCGAGTAAGTTCCTAGCGTGGACTGAGACGAGACTCCGCGACTCAATTACAACGCAAGCTCTTTCCTTTTGCTGTCGTTTTTACCGTATCTTTTGCGGTGTACGGGTTCCGGTATAGATCGATATAATACCCAGCATCGAGCACGTGACCGAGAACAACCGCGCAAGCAACGCCCAAATCAACACGTGCAGTATAGCGTTCCAGGGCATCCTTATTGTAAACGTCTCACGGGGCGGTATCAATTTTTATGCGTACAACATACGGTTCGCAGTGCGCAGCGCAAGAATTATAACGCCCACATAGAAAATTACGGGATTTCACCAGCCGACCACACGATGAGGCACACCATATGTAGACCACTTATTGATTGATGATTGATATGTGGGGTTTAACGTCCCTATACCACCATATGATTATGAGAGACGCCGTAGTGGAGGGATCCGGCAATTTAGATCACCCGGGGTTCTTTTACGTGCACCCAAATGTTGTATATGTAATGAAGAAGCAGTGGGTTACACATTTCCGCCTCCATCACAAATGCAGCCGCCGCAGCCGAGTACCTTAGCCACTAGACCACCACGGCGGGGCAATGTAGACCACTTATATCGTGCGCTCATACCACTATATATACGCGAAAGGTTTTTTTTTTTTTTTCACTTCGGCCTCATCAAAATGTGGCCCGCGACCTCATGTTCTCTGGCGCCGTGGGTGAACCCTCATAACGGTGAAATTGCGTACAAAATGCTCTTGAGGGTTACTTATTTTTGATCGGAAATGATAAATGACGGTAAAAACACCCGCACTGTACCCTCAAAACCCCTGAGCGTTGTACGAAGTTACGTCAGTAACGCCCCTTTAAGAGATATATATATACAGGAGTTTTAAAACATATTCGCTTGCTTCGCGACGCCTGCAACGCAGTGTGGTGTGCGCATAGCAATGAGCGCTGGCAGTTTCTGATGTATTATGTAACGAATGCTGCGTTGCTACAACTATATACCGGCGTCAAACACAGTTGGGGGCTCCAACACGAAGCTTAGAATTCGCGTCAGGCAGTGTCGCGAACACCAGTGAACTTTTTCTTACGTACAGATAAAATCACACCTGTCCAGAGCGCCCAGTCGGCCGCTCCAGCTGCCCGTTTTCTGCAGAAGGCCGACGCCGTAATAATACCAAGACTGGTCATACTGCGTGCTATAATTTAAGCATGAAAGGAAGCTTGTAGCTAACGTTAGGTAAAAGGTGCGAATCCGCGACCAACAACAGCGTCGACAGCCACGCACTCCACTGCTCTATAGACAAGTGCGAGTCTACCTGTAGTACACGAGTACACGCTTATAACAACGATGGTTCCGCTTCACATATGTACAACTTAACGCAAGTAAAGCAGCAGCACACCCACTTAATAAAGCTACGGCTAGTGACACAAAAAAAAGATCTGCATACCAGCCCTGGTAGTGGTTCAGCGGTTTTACTGTGCTCCACTACTGCCCCGAAAGGTCACGGCATCAAATGCCAGTCGCGGCCATCGAATTTCGACGGCGGCGAAACCTTAGAAGGCCTATGTGTTCAGATTTGGGTGCGCGTTTACGAACCCCCGGATGTTCGAAATTCCCGAAGCACTACACCAAGGAGTCTCCCTTTCGTATCGCGGTTTTGGGACGTAACACCCCAACAATTATAGCATAATTAAGCTATCGGCATACCTCCAAAGCGGCTCCTGGGGGAAGGAAAACATGGTTCAGCGTGAACGTTTTCGGCCGATGCTCTGTCGATGAACGCCGACGCTCTGGCCCTGATCGTATCACGTAAGCACCTAGCGAAAGATTGTTACATGCATATTCCGGCTAAATTTGTCGAGCCTGCAGCGCAAGGCCGGTGCGCACGATGCTATTTTCGGGATAAGGAAATGCCGATAAGGGTATCACGCTCATTCCCGCAAACGATGCCACGAGCGGCTCACATGAGCGCGATAAGGCGATATCGAATCCGATTCGCTTTCTTTCTGGCGACGGATGCCAAAGAGAACGGTTTCGGAACAAACGGCGAAGTTTTTTTTTTTTGGCATTCAGCGACCTTTTTCAGAAGGGGAGGGGTGAGGGGAAAACGAAACTAGGAAGAGGGGAAGAGGTGACCGCGCGCCCCTTCCCGCGGTGCCTGTCAAATGTGGCGGTAGACCTATTTGCTTTGGTCATGAGAAATAAGCCCGACGAATTCAACTTCGCTCGATAAAGCATAAAGGCTGTAGAATATAATCTCATTGAAAGATGGTTCTGGGTACCTTGATAACGACGAGGCTGCTGACCCACCGGTCGCGGGATCGAATCCCAGTCGCGGCGGCCGCATTTTCGACAGAGGCAAAAATTCTTGAGGCACGTGTGCTTAGATTTAGGTGCACGTTAGCCCTCCCATACGCCCCGCCGCGATGGTCTAGTGGCTATAAGGTACTCGGCTGCTGACCCGCAGTTCGCGGGACCGAGTCCCGGCTGCGGCGGCTGCATTTCCGATGGTGGCGGAAATGCTGTAGGCCCGTGTGCTCAGATTCGGGCGCACGTTGAAGAACCCCAGGTGGTCGACATTTTCGGAGCCCTCCACTACGACGTCTTCCATAATCATATGGTGGTTTTGGGACGTTAAACGCCACATATCAATCTATCAAAGCCCCCCCCCCCATACAGCGTCGCTCAATTATATGGCGGTTTGGGGACGTCAAACCCAAACAATTACTATTCTGTTATTGACTACAACGAGGGCCGCAGCCATGCTTGGAACTCGTTTGCGCAAGAGGGCCGCAGGGGTCCTCGCGAGCACGCCAATCATCGGCAATTTCCGCTATCGCGACGATTGCCTCACAGCGGGAGCGCGCCCACGACTGTGCCACCCTAAGGCCCCGAAGTGCTCGCAAAAATGATTGCTTCAGTGTCGCGGGCGAAAGCTCCTTGCAGAAGACCAATTGGAGACGCTAGAAGGTCCATCCGCTCATACAGTTGTTTACACAAGGCGCGTTTTCTGTTTTAGAAAATACCGATCTTTAATTAAACAAAAAATTAGCGAGAGTCAGGCACCTGTGATATTCGCACACGAACTCTACGTGCAGGAGAAAACACGTTGCCGTGTCTAAAGTTACACTGAAAAGATTATTTAAAAAAAAAACAAGTTAATTATAGACTAAATATTGCGTGAAGGGCACAGTTGTTTTTATGGAAAAGTTTGTGACAATTCAGAGAATGTGTGTGCCCCCCTCGTACTATTTATACATCGAAAATAACAAACGTAATTTTGGGTATTAATAATCGAAATATTCAAGGCCCCGATCTAAGCAATATCGAAGCAACTGCCCTAAACTGATAACTAAATACTTAATTAACGAGTTCGTGACTTACTCATCTTAGCGTAAAACTAAGCGCGTCAAGGTATTTTCCCCTCAGTGTAGAAGTCGCGTG